TCTCCTGTGTGTCTGGTGGATGTCTGTGTGTCTATCGCGTGTCTCGTGGATGACCGTCTATCTCTGTTATCTGTCCGCGTGTTGTCTGTCGTCTGCCTGGTGGATATATGTTTGTCTCTCTGTTATCTGTCCGCGTGTTTGTCTGTCGTCTGCCTGGTGGATATATGTTTGTCTCTCTGTTATCTGTCCGCGTGTTTGTCTTTCGTCTGCCTGGTGGATATATGTTTGTCTCTCTGTTATCTGTCCGCGTGTTTGTCTGTCGCCTGTCTGGTGGATATATGTTTGTCTCTCTGTTATCTGTCCGCATGTTTGTCTGTTGTCTGTCTGGTGGATATATGTTTGTCTCTCTGTTATCTGTCCGCATGTTTGTCTGTTGTCTGTCTAGCAGATATATGTTTGTCTCTCTGTTATCTGTCCGCATGTTTGTCTGTTGTCTGTCTGGTGGATATATGTTTGTCTCTCTGTTATCTGTCCGCGTGTTTGTCTGTTGTCTGTCTGGTGAATATATGTTTGTCTCTCTGTTATCTGTCCGCATGTTTGTCTGTTGTCTGTCTGGTGGATATATGTTTGTCTCTTTGTTATCTGTCCGCATGTTTGTCTGTTGTCTGTCTGGTGGATAAATGTTTGTCTCTGTTATCTGTCCGCATGTTTGTCTGTTGTCTGTCTGGTGGATATATGTTTGTCTCTCTGTTATCTGTCCGCATGTTTGTCTGTTGTCTGTCTGGTGGATAAATGTTTGTCTCTCTGTTATCTGTCCGCATGTTTGTCTGTTGTCTGTCTGGTGGATATATGTTTGTCTCTCTGTTATCTGTCCGCATGTTTGTCTGTTGCCTGTCTGGTGGATAAATGTTTGTCTCTCTGTTATCTGTCCGCATGTTTGTCTGTCGTCTGTCTGGTGGATAAATGTTTGTCTCTCTGTTATCTGTCCGCATGTTTGTCTGTCGTCTGTCTAGTGGATATATGTTTCTCTCTCTGTTATCTGTCCGCATGTTTGTCTGTCGTCTGTCTGGTGGATAAATGTTTGTCTCTCTGTTATCTGTCCGCATGTTTGTCTGTTGTCTGTCTGGTGGATATATGTTTGTCTCTCTGTTATCTGTCCGCGTGTTTGTCTGTCGTCTGTCTGGTGGATATATGTTTGTCTCTCTGTTATCTGTCCGCGTGTTTGTCTGTTGTCTGTCTGGTGGATAAATGTTTGTCTCTCTGTTATCTGTCCGCGTGTTTGTCTGTTGTCTGTCTGGTGGATATATGTTTGTCTCTCTGTTATCTGTCCGCGTGTTTGTCTGTCGTCTGTCTGGTGGATAAATGTTTGTCTCTCTGTTATCTGTCCGCATGTTTGTCTGTTGTCTGTCTGGTGGATAAATGTTTGTCTCTCTGTTATCTGTCCGCATGTTTGTCTGTTGTCTGTCTGGTGGATAAATGTTTGTCTCTCTGTTATCTGTCCGCATGTTTGTCTGTCGTCTGTCTGGTGGATAAATGTTTGTCTCTCTGTTATCTGTCCGCGTGTTTGTCTGTTGTCTGTCTGGTGGATAAATGTTTGTCTCTCTGTTATCTGTCCGCGTGTTTGTCTGTCGTCTGTCTGGTGGATATATGTTTGTCTCTTTGTTATCTGTCCGCGTGTTTGTCTGTTGTCTGTCTGGTGGATAAATGTTTGTCTCTCTGTTATCTGTCCAAGTGTTTGTCTGTTGTCTGTCTGGTGGATATATGTTTGTCTCTCTGTTATCTGTCCACGTGTTTGTCTGTTGTCTGTCTAGCAGATATATGTTTGTCTCTCTGTTATCTGTCCGCGTGTTTGTCTGTTGTCTGTCTGGTAGATAAATGTTTGTCTCTCTGTTATCTGTCCGCATGTTTGTCTGTTGTCTGTCTGGTGGATAAATGTTTGTCTCTCTGTTATCTGTCCGCATGTTTGTCTGTCGTCTGTCTGGTGGATAAATGTTTGTCTCTCTGTTATCTGTCCGCGTGTTTGTCTGTTGTCTCTCTGGTGGATATATGTTTGTCTCTCTGTTATCTGTCCGCATGTTTGTCTGTCGTCTGTCTGGTGGATAAATGTTTGTCTCTCTGTTATCTGTCCGCGTGTTTGTCTGTTGTCTGTCTAGCAGATATATGTTTGTCTCTCTGTTATCTGTCCACGTGTTTGTCTGTTGTCTGTCTAGCAGATATATGTTTGTCTCTCTGTTATCTGTCCGCATGTTTGTCTGTTGTCTGTCTGGTGGATAAATGTTTGTCTCTCTGTTATCTGTCCGCATGTTTATCTGTTGTCTCTCTGGTGGATAAATGTTTGTCTCTCTGTTATCTGTCCGCATGTTTGTCTGTCGTCTGTCTGGTGGATATATCTTTGACTCTGTTATCTGTCCGCGTGTTTGTCTGTTGCCTGTCTGGTGGATAAATGTTTGTCTCTCTGTTATCTGTCCGCATGTTTGTCTGTTGCCTGTCTGATGGATATATGTTTGTCTCTCTGTTATCTGTCCGCATGTTGTCTGTCTAGCAGATATATGTTTGTCTCTCTGTTATCTGTCCGCATGTTTGTCTGTCGTCTGTCTGGTGGATATATGTTTGTCTCTCTGTTATCTGTCCGCGTGTTTGTCTGTTGTCTGTCTGGTGGATATATGTTTGTCTCTCTGTTATCTGTCCTCGTGTTTGTCTGTTGTCTGTCTAGCAGATATATGTTTGTCTCTCTGTTATCTGTCCGCGTGTTTGTCTGTTGTCTGTCTAGCAGATATATGTTTGTCTCTGTTATCTGTCCGCATGTTTGTCTGTTGTCTGTCTGGTGGATAAATGTTTGTCTCTGTTATATGTCCGCATGTTTGTCTGTCGTCTGTCTGGTGGATATATGTTTGTCTCTCTGTTATCTGTCCGCGTGTTTGTCTGTTGTCTGTCTAGCAGATATATGTTTGTCTCTCTGTTATCTGTCCGCGTGTTTGTCTGTTGTCTGTCTAGCAGATATATGTTTGTCTCTCTGTTATCTGTCCGCGTGTTTGTCTGTTGTCTGTCTAGCAGATATATGTTTGTCTCTCTGTTATCTGTCCGCATGTTTGTCTGTTGTCTCTCTGGTGGATAAATGTTTGTCTCTCTGTTATCTGTCCGCGTGTTTGTCTGTTGTCTGTCTGGTGGATAAATGTTTGTCTCTGTTATCTGTCCGCGTGTTTGCCTGTTGTCTGTCTAGCAGATATATGTTTGTCTCTCTGTTATCTGTCCGCATGTTTGTCTGTTGTCTGTCTAGCAGATATATGTTTGTCTCTCTGTTATCTGTCCGCGTGTTTGTCTGTTGTCTGACTAGCAGATATATGTTTGTCTCTCTGTTATCTGTCCGCGTGTTTGTCTGTTGCCTGTCTGATGGATATATGTTTGTCTCTCTGTTATCTGTCCGCGTGTTTGCCTGTTGTCTGCCTAGCAGATATATGTTTGTCTCTCTGTTATCTGTCCGCGTGTTTGTCTGTTGCCTGTCTGATGGATATATGTTTGTCTCTCTGTTATCTGTCCGCATGTTGTCTGTCTAGCAGATATATGTTTGTCTCTCTGTTATCTGTCCGCGTGTTTGTCTGTTGTCTGTCTAGCAGATATATGTTTGTCTCTCTGTTATCTGTCCGCATGTTGTCTGTCTAGCAGATATATGTTTGTCTCTCTGTTATCTGTCCGCGTGTTTGTCTGTTGTCTGTCTAGCAGATATATGTTTGTCTCTCTGTTATCTGTCCGCATGTTGTCTGTCTATCAGATATATGTTTGTCTCTCTGTTATCTGTCCGCGTGTTTGTCTGTTGTCTGTCTAGCAGATATATGTTTGTCTCTCTGTTATCTGTCCGCATGTTGTCTGTCTATCAGATATATGTTTGTCTCTCTGTTATCTGTCCGCGTGTTTGTCTGTTGTCTGTCTAGCAGATATATGTTTGTCTCTCTGTTATCAGTATCTACCTGTGTGTTTGTCTGTGGTCTATCTTGAGGAACCTCTTGTGTTTGTCCATTTGTCTTTCTGGTGTCATACTGTCTCATTTGTTTCCGTTATTTTCTGTCTTTTATTTGCTGGCGTATCTGTTGTCTGCATAACTGATATATGCCAGATTAGTATCGAGCATGTCCGTGTTTCCCTCTAGTTTATTTGTTTATGGTACGTCTGTGCAGTATCTGTCAGTTGTATATAAGTATGTCTAGAACCGATCTGCTGTCTATTTAGCTTAGGTCTGTGTGTCTCTCTGCTGTCAACAACAGCCACAACAACAGCAACAGCAATAATAAACTGCCGTTATGACGCCAGAGTATTGGTCCAATGTTGTCTTGGTAAATGTCTCTGTGTTATTATCAGTTTTTGCTGATAAAGTATTAATAACAGGAAGAGAATTGTTCATTTTGCTGTTTATCTTTTCCTCAGACGTCATATATATCATCACATTGTATATATCTCAACAATACTAGGTGTCGTCAGTCTTATTCATGCATATAGTTTCTTCCATTGACTCGTGTAATCATGAGAAACCAAAATACAGAATTTGTAATATTCTCAGTTAAATTTATTTTAAACGTTCTGATTGTTCGGAAATATAAATTCATTATGTTGGAGTTACTCTTTCATTGCCTGCATGGTGACATGTATATATTGTAAATATCATACTTTGCCAGGAACAGTACAAGCATCCACGATTTTATGGCATGTATTTGTCAAATTGACAAACATTTAGCTCCCACTGAATACCTACATGCGTTTTGTTTTACTTTCAACCAGAAATAGGTTAAATCCCTCAACAATTCCTTTTTTATTAGCAGTATGCGAGTCAGGTTTCCATAGAGTTATCTACCTTCGTTGAATTTATTGATTCCGAAAACTACCGATGTTGGCCGAACATTGATTATTCCCACAATCAAGTGACGTAGTGAGCTATGCCTGTGGTGTCAACATTGCCTGCCTCCGCTCATTATTTGGCTGAAACTCAGCAAAACGGGCACGGGATTGCTTCGTTTACCAACGATTGCTCTTCCCTGGGCAATCATTTACGTTTTTGGTCATTCGTAAGTGTTGCCCATATTCCGCAAATGCTAGAATTTACTATCAAAATGGTTTGTTTACATCTGAACAGAGGTCATAGCGAGCTCCCAGCCGTAGCATGGCTGTGTTGATGTTTTCATTTGATTGGACGGTGTACGGGCTACGCAGCTGCTTGTTGTTATAATCGGTTATTTCTGGATATAATTATTCCTACAAGGCTGTAGAAGAATCTGTAAATGCACCAGCCCTTTGTAGAATCTCATTGTCAAGGTCAGCTTAGTTGTAAACTAAGCAGACGATTTTTTACTGTCAAACAAGCAAACAGCTGATTGAGTGCGAGCGATGCGTCTCCATTTGGTAGGAAATTTTCCTTTGTGTGAGCATATCGGTTTACAGGCCAACAAAAAGGCATTGATTACAGGTGGTAGTAGTGCACACGATTTGACATGCTTGCCATTGTTATGATTGTAGTTGACTGCATTTGTTGCCACAATATGGAACCGTTTGTCAAGATGGCTAACTGTTGCGAGCCGAGATAGGACCATTTCCTGTGTTTTCATAAGTAGGCCACCATTAATCCAGGAAATAAGCATAGATATAGATTTCCGAAGGCAAGTATGATATTTTGTTGTGCAGTCATCATTCTGTTGTGAACATGCTTGGAGATGAATCTGGTGCAAATTCCATTGTCTGTCTGCAATCTGCATGTACTTATTTATTGCAGATATGGGCTTAGCCTAAAATGCTTAATAATTAATCTTGCTTAAATATGCCATATGATTTAGTAGTTTATCACACTCCCAGTTTGTGTTTTATATTGGCAGTTAGCTGTTTCATTAATTCTGAGATTGTACATATGCAATGCTACACCGTAAAATGTTGATAAACTTGAAAAATATGGTCCTCAATTGTAAATGTCTTGACCCAAATTAAGTGTTAAATACAATATTTGAATGAAATTTTTGTTCTGTTGTAGATGTTTTAAGGGAATATGTTGATGCATAAATTGTATTATTTTTACTCAATTCGGTTTATTTGAGGTACCTTCTAATGTTCAAAAATTTGTTTTTCAGCTGCCAGTGGCTTTTATAGATTTATAATAATTTCTTTTAGACATAACCAAGAAATTGATTGATAATTGAAAATTTCAAAGTTTAGACCTAAATAGCAATTGTGTATGCAATTTGTAGTGAACAGAAAACTGCTAAGATACTTAGATAACATCCATATACCTTCAAATAACATATTTAGTCATTTCAAGGATTTGCCCTCCTTCGCTGTGTAGTGCCTTGGGTTTATTCCTACAAAACAATTTCTTGTCATCTTAAATCTTGCACAAAATCTCTCCTGTAGTTCTAGATGCTTTTCCATGGTGTATTCATATGTATTTGTCTGCATTAACACGTTTCTGTCATATATTACTTCACCTATTATTTGAAAATTAGCAATATCTTCTCGTTTGGATCACATATTAGAGACATAGAGTTACCCATCCAACCCGTTGAAATATTAACTTTTCATTCCATGACAGAGGGGTAGGACAGAGTACAGCAGAACTTGCATATTCCATATGGGCTCCCTAAAATCATTGCAGTGGTAGAAACAAACTCATTTTGGTAACAAGTCCTTGTGTGTTGTAAATATTTGCAATTAAGCATGAAAGTCAAGGGGTCCTTGTCATGACATTGATGTCAAAATGATAGATTTCCTGTAGTATGTTTCAGGGAAGGGGGACGAGATATTCAGATACTACAGAGGCAAACTTCAAACACCCCAGGACCCCTTAATTTCTGAGAATAATGTTGAAAATCCAACCAGTTTCATGTTTCTACTTGTTCAATGGATATATTTACCATTTTGAAACCATTATGATGATGCACTATTGTTCTTGAAGTTGATTCGGAGCCAGGAATTCACTAGCCATTCTGAATTTGCATTTTAACAAGTGAAACTGTCACAACTATCGGCCATTATGCAAAATGAAATTATATATCAACCATAACATACAAGGTTTAAGTCAAATCTATTGATTCTGTAAGTAGAATCAACTCGCCCTGACATTTCTTTTGGGGATATAAATTAATACCAGTTTCTGACAGTAAATTGAACCCTTTTCCTGTGTATATACATGAGTGAGTGATCTTTGAACCTGTTATCAATTTATTTATTGATAAGTTATCATCAATGTCAAGATATAATGTTGACAATAGAGAGGCCTGCTAGCAGTGTTGTGCCAACATGGCCATGATGAGTAACTGATTATTCATATCCTTTGTCCAGGGCTGCTTTGTTGTGAATTCACCTGTCATGAGTTCTGACGAATAAATCTTACTTGATTTAAAACAGATGACACCAAATTGACACTTTTCTTCTTTGTGATTTAATAAATTCGCTCAGTGAAGATTACTGGTAATCGTAGCTGAGTCATTTGTCTAATTCTAATTCTAGGTTTCGTTCAAACAGTGTAGCATTAGCAATGAGGTACAACATCAAAGCATTGAAATAGATGGAGACTTCATAAAGGATAAAGTTGTCTTTTCTCAATGACATTAACCAAATTGTTGTGTTCTTTGGGCACATCTCAGGGATTTATCTAGACGTGCTCAGAGGTTGCTATTTGGCCCCAACCCTGCAGGAAATATCAGTAAACATTTCCCCATTCATGATTTATGTTGTGACATTAAACATGTGACTTATATTTCACTGGTAACAGGATCATTCAAGAGGGCATGGCTTTTATTCTTAGGTTTACATTATGAAACACTGAATAAGATGTTAAAATACATGATTAAGATGCCTATGAATTTAGGAAAATGTGATCTTTAAGAAAATCCAAAATTTGAACAAAAAATTATTTCCAATTGGGAACATCAGGGTTATTGATTTCAGCATCTTGTAGTTGTCTATGTAAGATATTGGGGTGTCATTAGGAGTATGTTTACTTTAGTTATAGTCCAAAACTAGGCCTAATCTAAACATGTGAAACTAAGAGGGCATAAATCATGTAAATGAAAGCAATGTTTGTTCTTTCTTCCGGTGGGATTGGTCTTATTGTGCTGCCCCTGTGTCGTTGTTTCACACACCCCCAAATCATAGTGATAAGTGTTTGGTGAACCTTCCCCCATTCACTGTATCATTTTTTTTCTATGGAAGCAAAACAAACCAAAATTATCTTTACTAGCTAAGTGAATTTCTTGGCCAAACTATTGTCATACTCATGTAGTGATATAGTTTGTTTGTGAAACGACTTTGGGGAATAGGTGTTGCTTTCTATAGAAGTGCAGTGTTCCTCTAGATCACACACTGCATGCTTCCAGTGGCAGTTGGGTTTCAGCTGGGACCCTGGAGTAAGCTGTGCATGTTCTGTCTTACCAGATATTGTTTCCTTTGACATTTGTATTGAATTTTAGAGTTTTTATAAAGAGGGTTATGAATTATCTGGGGCTTATGATGTTTATGTTGGGGAAAATCCTTTTATTGCTTTTCCAATCATCAAGAGCTTAGGAATCTTAACATTAAGCATCTAAAAGGTCTCTGAAGAGACCAAAATGGCAAAGTGTATGTTTCAAAAATATCATATGCCAGTGATCATGGTAATCCGCCAAGTGAAACAGTTAAGTAATGAGAGTTAAAATCAGATATAAATTTTTAAAGGAATAACATTTTATAATTATTACCTGAGAAATAATTTGTACTGGTTTTCTTGTTTTTGTTTGAAAATATGCAAAATGTGCATTTCTTTATTTATGAATCACATTTTTAGTCTCATTAATGCTTAACATTGTTGTAATATATTGTAACATATATGTCAGTCAGGTAATTTTATTGTTATAGCATGATATGAATGTTAATATCTTTCATGTAATACTTAAGATACTCTGAAATTTGATTCCTAAGTAACAATCTCTTGTGTTGTTTGTTTTGCAGACATTATGAATATACACAATCAGGGACCACGTCAAGTGTTTCTTTACAACCACGGACGCACTCACTGGTCCCAGGGAGGGCCCATCTTTTATGATCATAGACGTATCAATCATCAAGTTGCAATTGGAACTGGACAATTTCAGGGACAGTGGTTTCGGGGCCCAGTAGTACCAGCTGGCCCACAGAACTCTCCTCCATTCCAGAATTTTCGTGTGAATATTTCATGGAACGGTCCTCTTAACGGTCCCTTTCACAACAATCTGAATATACATTTTGGCAGGAACTTTGTCAATCGTGTTCACTACAGAACAAATATGATTGGTGGAAGACAGGCTCCCCAGCCAATGCTGGGGGTTGACGAGGACACTGAGTTGTGTTTTATTTGTGGTGACTATCTCCAGAACTGTAATGAGCCTGGTGTACACATGTGTGATGGGGGGCGGGACCGGGACAGTTCTTCCAGGTGTAATCAAAATGCAAGACATTCATCTGATGCAGACCAAAGGCAGGCAGAAATTAACAAAGACAATAATATCAAGACAAAGTTAGGTGAGAATGAAATAAACATATTGTTTGGATCCTCTTCCTCCTCCTCCTCTTCCTCCTCCTCCTCCTCCTCCTCCTCCTCATCATCATCATCATCATGTGCATTATATGTGTTGCTTGTGTTTGATGAATATGTTTATACTCAGGATTCTAAATGAACTTTTGTAAGCAATAAGTGATCAGTACCTCATGCATGTCATAGGAGCCAACATGCTCATAATTTCAGTCACTGGTTTCACCTTGTGGGGATTCTGAGTTAAAGTAGGTCCCCAACAACCTTCGTAAAGGCTAGTTATTAGATCAGGAGGTGAGGTTTAGTGACTTTGTGTACCAATTGCATGGATCATTGCTCATAAACTCATTCACTGGCTTGTCTGTCCCAGACGAGATATTTCACAGACCACTGTCATAAAGCTGGAATATTGCTGAGTGCAACAAACATAATGCTCCAATCTCTGACTGAACTCTTCAGGCCCTCATTTAGAAAAAATTGCAGCTTATTTTGACAAAACAATTGACACGTAAGTTTACTGCAGGCCATAAGGACCCATACGAATTTGAAACTACAGGCCATATAGGCGCTTATTTCAGACACTGACTAAAAATCTTGTCCATCAAAACAGGGATTTGAGTTAGGGTTTTGTATGACACAGTTATGTGCATCTAGTATACAAAAATACATAGAATATGCAGAGAAAAAACATATTGTATACTGAGGGATGCACAATAATATTCATTGTACCAATTTCTTGACAAGAAGTTAAATTGAAATTAATTATTAGGTGTCCCTTGGACCCCTAGTTTTGTAGGTCAAGGTAAATCGCTGTAAATTGCTAGGAAACATTTACAATCTTGCATAGTGCTAACATATAAGGATCGTTGTTTAGGATTATTAATACCCCATATAATCCTGAAATTCTACTAGACCTCCAGAATACTTTAACATCAGACAAATTGACTTGAGCTAGCGGACATAGCATCCCTCATAAAAATCTTTCATAACCATGCCAGCATGAAAACATGAATTATATATCATGACAGGGTTTCAGATCATTTTCTAGGACATTGACTGGTTGTCATCCACAATGCCCTGAAGATATATTTCAAATTTGGTAAAGATACGGAAGTTAATATATAACTATACAGATATCAAAAGTTGATGATTTCATGAAAATGTTCTAATGTCAATTGTTTTTACTCAGCAAATTCACTGACATAATTGAAAACAGGCCTATATCAGTCTGCGACTCTGGCAACTAGTATGAAGCCCCAGTCTAGTATACTTCAGTTCAGTCTAGTAAGCTCATCCAGAGCTACAGATAAGCAGCCTATTTGCGTTCCACCCCCCCTATTCAAAACCCAATTACTTTCAATTAACTTGCGTACTAATTAACACATGCATTAAATGAAAAACTCAAATGCATGACAATTGAAGCTTTTTCATAATGCGTACAAAGGACCTAATTTTCAAAACACAATTACAAGCTGATTTATTTTCCGAGTGAAGCCTTTATATATATAGAACAGTTATATACATCTAAAACATTATTTCATTTTTTTTTAAATTTCAAAATGTTCACTATTTTTGGAAAAAAACCCAATAGAGTGATGAATAGATGAGTGAAAAAATATTGGTTACCCAATGAAAAATGTAATAACCCAATTAAAATAGAAACCCTAGAGTAAAAACTCAATTGCTCAAAAAGTTATCTGGAACTATGCTCATCTTATAGTTCACACAATAACTCAAAATTCTACTGAAAATAATGCCAAGAGCCAAATTGGGGCTTGCAGTCTCAAATGCTTTTGGCACAGACTGCTATATGCTTGTGATCAACAATTTTTTGTTGATATGACTTGTGCTTCAATGCATGAAACCAGACAGTATAGATGCATTCTTTTGGATGGAATAAACCCACCTGGAATTAAATATTGAATATAACAGTCTGTGACTTTAGCCACTTGTCTGAAAGCAGAGGCAAGAATTTTAAGCTAACTAATTAATATTAGTCTAGAATATTAAGCTAAGCTGATAATTGTCGATACAGTGTTTCAAGTGCCCCTTGCCATATTAAAAATTCAAAGTTTTAGGGGCTCCCTAGACATCGCCATAATGCTATGTGATGACCAAACAAATGACTCATGCTAGTGGAGACTAAAATGTGTTTGGGACAGACTGGTTCGAAAATAGCCTGAGAATTCAATTGAAAGACACCAATGGCTATTTAGAACTGGTGAAAACAAATATACAAACAAGAAAGGGGAAATCCCAATACATTTGTTTGGTGGAAATATATTCATCAGAATAGATCATGACAAGTTTCATCTCTTTGAGGATTTCTTGTCAGAAGAGGTCCCCATCATCTTGTGTATGTGGTAAGAGGTGACTAGTTGGTTCGTGTGGTCAGACTCCTTACTTTGATTGTCTGTCAATGTTCTCTGTTGTTGCTCATATTTTCACTGGATTGTCTGGTGCATTCTTGAATTTTTACAGGCTTATTTTTTCAGCCTCTACACTATCAAAAACCAGTCTGTAAGAATGGCTTCAATGCAGAGCCATACACTCATATATTTCACTCCCAGTATGGACATTTATCCTTTCTTAGGTAGGGTAGCATCGTGGTTAAAGTGCTCACTCGTCATGCCAAAGACCAAGGTTTGATTCACCACATGGGTACAATGTGTGAAGCATGTTTCCGGGGTCTCCTGCTGTTATGTTGCTGGAATATGGCTAAAACCTGCATAAAACTATACTCACTCACTCACTCACTGTTAAGGAATCTAGCTCCCTGAATAGCCTGTCATGGTTTAAAAAAAACTTCATACAGACAGCTGGCAGGCCTGTATGACTATCATGATGTCATAATGTAATGTTCTATGTGACGTCACAATGCTTGTCAGTCACAACTGACCCTATTTGCACTTCCTGTTACCACAGTCAAAGTCTGATGACAGGCACAAGATAGATCTAACTGTCACACAAATATTCAACAACAATTAAGCCTTGTTAATTGTAATGATACATTTGTTACGTGTGTCACTAGCAGGTGGACAGGATTGTATCAGTTGAACGTTAATGTACACCCTCCACCATATGGTGTAATGTTTTGTGTGTCCATACAGGTAATAAAACCCTGTACACACATCTAGTGACACGTGTAACTCATTATATATGACTGTATGGAGTAGCGCAGAGCATTGAGTACGTACATGCACTACCATCACATGTCCAGTGTCAATACCCGTACAGTGAATGAGTTGGGTTACATTTAGTCCCATTTAATCAGTCATACTTGATATAAATGAATGAGTACAAAATATACACAAGGATCACATCATATGGACATCTCATGTTACGTCATTATGAAACTGTTCCATCAGTCCTAAGATCAACAACCCCCTCTGTGGTCTAGTGGTAGAGTGTCCTCCCAGAGAGCGGAAGGTCCGGGATTCGATCCCCGGCCGCGTCATACCAAAAGACGTAAAGAGATGGTACTTGTTGTTACCCTGTCTGGCGCTCGGCTTTAAGGGGCTAAAACAAGAACTGGTTTGGCTTGGAGTCAGTATACTGTGTCTGAGTGGGGAATTCATGTTAAACTGTGGCATGGTATCTCAGTGGGCTAGCACTATGAAATCGGCATTACTTGTCTTGGATGTGACAGTTAACCCCATTTCACCTCACCTCGCCTTGCCTCGCCTCGCCTCGCCTCGCCTCGCCTCGCCTCACCTCACCTCACCTCACCTCACCTCACCTCACCTCACCTCACCTCACCTCACCTCACCACAAAAACTCTGAGTGTTCCTGTGGCAGAGCACTAGATGCTGCCTTTTTGTGTAAAATATGCAAAATATATCACCATAACCCACTTAATTTTGGGTTGCTTGCACGCATGAAAGATTTAGAAAAACTGTTAGTATGACAGAACTGAGCGTAATTTCAGCTTGCATACCCAAATGCACATCTGCATTTACTGATCAAATACAGGCATCACCTATTCATAAACTCTACTTCAGTGAACGATGCACAAAAGGGATACATCCTACTTGTGGCATATATGTCACTATTCTGTGCAGATTGAGGCAGCATATTAAAAATTACCTGAAAAGACATTTAAAGCAAAAATATTTTAACAAATGCCTACCCTTGATTTTAAAGTACCCAGATGACTCATTCCAAGGGAGTTAAAATATATCGAATACCCAAAGAAAATGATTAAGTACCCAATGTAAATAATAACATGTGAGTGAACAGTGTGGTGTAGAACTAATTGGAACACTACTTGTACACAACACTCCCTATCTCCTCTTCTTAAGGGTACTCATGATAATGGTATTAGACATGTTGAATTTCTAAAGAGAGAGGAATGGTGATTTTGATTTCTAATTTCATCCCTTTAAGACCCAAACCATGACACATTAGCACTTTAGTTTTTTAACTTTGATCAATAAATCACTGTTCAGTGAGTTAAATTGGATTTGAGAAAATAGTTCAGCTTATACTATTTCTGCCCATGATATGGGTTGATAACACTGATGAGGTCCTTCAGTTATTATTAAAAAAGAGAATACATTTTTCACATGTCAAAAGAAATAATAGCCCCCAACCTTGTTTTTCCTTGGTAGCCACCACACTAAATTTAACATTGAAACCTCACACTGCTCTTTCGGTTCCAAATTCAATTTAGCTCTGTTAAAGCTACAGGTAACATGGCTCCACATTGAAAACACAGTATGTTTATCCCCTAAATCATATAAGAATGGAGATTCTATGTACTAGATAATTGATAGCTGTAGAAAATGGCAATAGTCCTAGTCCTTGCCAAACTGCCTAACAGTTGAGGTATAAGAAATTGGCCATTTTTAAGGGTTTAGCTATATGTTATCATTGTAAGGGCTAGTGGACTAAAATGTTAGTTTCTAACTTTCTGCCGCTGATTGTGATGTAACAAGTCCTTAGATTCATTCATGTCATGCTAAATATCAATGGTATCAAGTCAATCCATCAAAGAATATTTGTAGTCTCCATTTAAGGTTTCGATGTTTGGTAGGCAAAATTTGGTTTTCATGTAAGGTAGGTGAAATTAGGTTTTGACCTGAGGTAGGCACCATTATTTGATCCAAGGGTTTAGACCAGACAATACAGTGATAGACATCATGAGCAACAATCCTGGAAATTGAGATACGATGACCTGATATGAACCAAGTCACCGAGCCAGACTGCCCTATCTAGTTAGTTGCCCCATATGACAAGCATAGGTTGCTGGGACCTATATTCTTACTATACTTGTAATACAGGTGAACACCTTTTATGTCTTTGTACAGGTGACTTGTTATATGGGTGAACTAGTGTTATGTCTTTGTATAGGTGACATGAAAGCCTGAAAGGGCGCATTTAGACTGACATCTAGTCTCTGAAATGAACATATTTTACAGAAAAAACAGATGTTAAATTATAGTTATACCAAAATAATAAAAAGGTGCCCCGAGACTAGACTTGAAAAATATTATAGACTTGCATGGGCTGTATTGGATATATTTGTTTCAGGATCTGTATGACAGAGTAGGGGGCATTAAGATGGCCCAGTTGTCTAAGGCACTAGAATTTGCAGTTCAGAATTGTGCTCGGATCATATAATCAAGGATTTGAATCCAAGATTATGATTGATTATGGTCCTATGTTTGTCATTGTCATACTTTGGTTGTTCACTGTGCTTGTAAACTTCATAAGCATTAATTGAATCCTCTACTGAAGTTTAGAAACCATCCCTATTAAACATTAAGGGAGAGAAGCCAATCTTTGATACCTACACAATTAAATACTTCAAGCACCTTCATTTCTTTTGAAACTGTATTCTTTGATACTTAGAACACTACTGGACATAGTTTAAAAAAGGCAATCCTATTAGCTGTCATAAACCCCTAATCTACAGGTTTGAAGCCAATATCCAAACATTTTGCTCAAAACATCCTCCTCTTTACCCTCAGAAACTGTTCTTCAAAATGTTCAAGACAGTTTGAAAAATGACTACAAAACAGTATCAGAAGCACTTGAAAAGTACCTCGCGGATCGCATCAGTGAGATTAGCACGATACACAGAGAGGTGAGCTCCCGGAGAGAGGCTTTAACCAAGCTACAACAGGAACTGGAAGCCAGGACCAAGGACCTGGAAGTGAAGGAGAAGAAGCTGGTGGAGTCCCAAAGCCAGTTCACCAAGGAAAGGCAACGGTGGGTGGAGGACAGCGAGAAGGAGAGGATGGAAATTGCTCGCCAGTGGCAACAGCTGAAGGATGAGATCACACGCATGGAAGAGCTGCATGATGTACAGAAAGTGAGTCATCCTCCTCCTTGTCATGATCTGTCTGTTTTGGTGCAAGTTTTGGTTGTTTTATCTGCTATGCAGGGTAGGATGTTAGTTGAACCTTTAAAAAGAGCTTCAGATGGGGTTCGAGTAGAGTATTTTGTGTTTTAATTCTTTTTTTTTTAATCTTGACAGTTTGACAGTAATTGGTGAGAAAATAAAATAATAGAGAAACAAAGACTAAATTAAAGAATCCCTTGGCTCTGTTTAATGGTTTTGCAAGTTATCTTTGTCACTGGTACCCATGGCTTTCAAAACCTTTCTTTTAAAAATGTATATTCTGCAAGGTTTATCCTTCCATCCTGAGATTTAATACACAGCAGTAGGATAGATGTACTAACTCCTTGTACCAGCTTATTCATTGTTAATGTCACCATATTTATTTGTGCTTTCTGTGTAAATAACATATATTAGAATATATTCTCAAGGACCAAGATAGTGACATCTTTTCATAGGAAAAAGGTAAGTTGTTTAGGATGAACTTATACTAGATTGCTGGGAATTTAAAGCTGATATCAAACAATGGCATCTGTTAATTTGTCTCTGGAGAAAAATTCTGGAAAAAAATGAATCTTTTCAAAGTTTGAATGCTGTTATACCTCCATGGCAGTGACTATGCCACAGGTCACTTAGTCGTCCTGATTTCTGATTTAGATCCTTCGTGTCTCTGAGATATTATCACCAGGCATGGTGTAGTAGACACAGGTAAGGTTTGTAATCCACGACTCAACACAAGTGTGTACCTAATGCAGAAGGTGATCAGATTATGAACATGAGGGGCTGCTAGGTAGCCTAGAGGTTAAAGTGTTTGCTTGTCACTCAAATAACTGGTTCAAGTCTCCACATGGGTCCAATGTGTGAACCCAATGCTTGGTATCAAGTTTGAATCTAGTAGTTGTGCTGATTTGAGCTGCTGTAATAAATACATGCATGACAGTAATCTGCCGGGCTAAAACATATGAAATAATAAGATGTAAAATCAGGTCACATTAAAACCACAGGATGCTGGTAAACAAGTGAAAGGTAAGTCTGTCTCAGTGGGTTGCAACAGTTCATATCACCTTTTAATGGGGTTTTTCTTATTTTGGATTGGTACCATTGTAAGCATCTGCATGCCAAGCACTTTCATTCAAGCAATTCTTATACTCATTTTTGTAAAGGAAGGAATAATTGTCAGCCCTGAGAGTGAACTGAGGATTGACCATTGATCAATTGTCTATGGTTTGCAGGTAAACATTTCATTTCAGTGTAGTTGTGAAAGGAACACAATCAAATATGGTGGACAATATGTGTCAGTTTACATGTTTTGAGCAAGTGTTGTTCTTGTGAAACTTTAGTTATGATGAAAATTGTAAAGCAGGACCTTACTATGTAATTAGATGAGTGTATCTTTAGCTCACTTGAACTGAAGGTTCATGTGAGCTTATGTTATGGCACATTGTCAGTTATGTTTTTTTTCATTTTTGACATGACCTGTTTTCATAAGGTCTACACTGTTAAAACTTTTGTGATTCCAGAAAAAGGTGTCTCTTAGAAATGCACACAGTGCCTGTACAATTTTATCCATGGTCACCAGTGTAATATTGGCCCATTATTTGCCTTCAACATTTCTGCAATTATCCTTGTGAATTTTGTGCAGCAAATATGTTAGTGTGGAAATCAGGCAATTATATGTTCATTTTAAACCAAATGAATTTACCCCGCTATGACCTTTGACCTTGGTGACCTTCACAAACCATCATTAACCACTGCGTTTGTGCATCTCCTCTGAAACCACTGTGTAGTATTTTTTTCTACCTGTTCCAAGCTTTGGCCCAAGCATTCTGATCTGAAGTGACAGATGGCTTCCACTGCAGCCATATTAGAAATAACTATGCCACTTTAGTACATATCATTTTGAAATTGATGTACAGTTAGATTGTGGTATGTACAAACATATGTGTCTGATATTTACTAATTTTGGTTATATTTAAGAATTCACTTTTACTTTGTGTGAGTTCATGGGAGTATGATCCTTACTAGAACTCAGAGCCAGACAGCATGAACATTGATACAAACATTTCTTGTAATATTTTCTATCCCTATTTGGTCCTCCGAAAGATGTTTGTGTACACAATTTTAGAATTTGTGTATGCTCTCATGTTTGGACTGACTGCCAGACAAAAACTGTGAAAAAATGGTTCCTCAAGACATTGTATGGGCGGATGTATGCTCAAAATGGACAGGACTAACATCCTTTGTAGTTACAACAAATGAATTTGAATATTATTCAACATTAGATGAACAATGTCTGTTAAGACTACCTCTGTATGAGTCAGTCACAGTGACATTGCATCATAATACATTGACTTCAAGATAGCAAAATGGCTGATATGGTCAACGTGACGTGAGAAATATCCGCAATTTGTCATCAGTGATCAATTGGCCGATCATGTGTAGAAATTGGAATAGGTTCTGAAGTAATTTAATCGATTGTTGCACAATGTTGTTGACTGTCATTGCGTGTGTAGTTTTTAGTGTGCATTTTGTTCAATACAACCAGTTGTAGCAAGAATATTTGATAATGAGCATGCAGTCAAACACTCTGACATTTTCAAATTTAGGAAGTGGAATTTTGTGTGTATGATCCTAGTGAAAATATCGTCTCTTAGATTTTCTATCTGATTTAAAAAATGATTGCCATTGCAGATATTATAAAGATATTTTGGTGTATACTCAAACCCTTTTGAAGTATCATTTGAAATTAGTTATTCAGTATTTATGATGGGGTATTTGCAAGTATGTGTGATAAATCTACGATCAATATTAATCTAGTTGTATTGCATTTCCACTTCTCCTATACCGGAGAGATGCAGGGGAAATTGAGACTAGATCCCAGGTTGTAGCAACAGATGTTTGATCTGGTATCTAACGTGGCTGCTCAGCTGCTCAGGCATGGTTCAATGAGTAATTTGATACCCAGTGAATATGGTTATTGTGTAGCGACACATGTCACATGGTTTGTTGGACTTACTGTGATCATGGCGATGTGTATAACCTTGATTTCAAAGATGGTTTGATTGATATTGTTGCAAATGTTAGAGCAAGTTCAGGTGAGCTCCAGAACCTTTTGGCTCTATTGTTTCAGCAAACTCACTGTACACTCACTGACACATTTTCATTTTCCTTATAGTTTTATGTGTAATTATTGCATGTCTAAGTTTCAAACGTTTCATTGTTTACCTTGTGATCAAGAATATATATATGCCATCCAGAAACAAAAAGAAAATCAGGGTTTTTTTGCACATCAGTAGGTCTTACAAAATACATAGAGCACATTTAAACATTGTCATAACAATTACTTAAGAAACAACTGAATAGTTTATTCAGAATATTTCAAGCACAGATAGTCAGACAAACTAGAGCTTGTCTACCAGAAAATTTAAATTTAGATGCAAATATCCTGCACAGATAGCATGACTAACCTTAAACCACTACATGTACAATTTGTTAACAGTAGCACCAAGTGTTACATAAGCTGCACAATATCAAGCTGTGCGATAAAAAGTGTTACGGCAGACCTACATACACATGTACTGTTATTATCATGATTATTGAAAAAAGCACATGCTGGTTATCTATGTCCCTTCGCGGACAAGGTATGAATATGTCTCAGTGTGTGGGTCGCAGTGACACAGGAATATATTTTCTTCTGTGTGTTTTTTTTCAACGATATCTCTGACCTAACCTAATGTTTCAGGTTTTACAGGATTTTGCACTGCTTAGTATCAAAATACCTCACAGATTTCACAAGCAAAGTGTCTGACACACTTGTAGTTTTGATTATAACAATTGGACAATACAGAGATGAAATTGGTAAGACAAGGATGGGTTCCTGACTGATTTAGCTGTATGGGTGTGCACATGGTGTTTAATAGTTTCTGTGGAGAGCTTCACTGCATCAGTCATCAGTCCTTTGCGTGCCTTACACATTCATCCCAGGGATTATATATGTTTCGGAATATCAGCTTCCAGGCAACTTTACATGTAATCAAATATTCCAGGAATATATCTCTTTTTGAGATATATGGAGTAATACCAAACATACCAAAGATGTGATAATGGTTTTATTACACCACTAATAACTGTGAGGCAATGAATGAGATAAAACTTCAAGAAGTTAGGAGGACTCGAGGACCGAGGATGAAGAGGAGCCTGTGTGGTGCCCCAGGAAACAAACCATCATCATGAGCTGATTTTGTGAATTTCTGTCAGTGTGTCCCCTGTTGTGAAGATGGTCTTCTTGTTGTGGATTTAACAACTTACCTTTTGATATGAGGTGTGGAATCAGATCACACTGCCCAACACGCTAAGTTGCACAAAGAACTCATTTGAGTGCTTGACAGAAAAGAATTCCAAAACCTAATCAGTCTAATCTAAGGAAGAGTCCCTGTATCTTGGTTGTCACTCCCAGAATCCAAGTCATAAGGCGACGATCTGGTTGCCTCGCAGCCCTCATTGCTGAACACTCCAAGGTTATCCTTGGGTAAGGTAATTTTCTAGACATTTGATAGACAATGATAAAACACATTAATTAATTTACTTATGGTACAATCATTATCTCTGTTGCAATAGAGGAGAACGGAAGTAATATTGTTTAGGTAAACCTGATGTGTGGAACAAGAATAAAGTCCTATACATTAGCATGTTAAGTCATCAATTCAACAGCCATTATAAGAAAGGAAAATATCTTTGGCATAGTATTTTACATGTTGTGCTGAACTGTTCCAAAACTTGGTGAATATAAATAATGACTATATTCCTTTGTGGTATCATGTATTATGATAGTTGCTTAATGTTTTTTTGTATATAGGAATGAACATCAGCTATCAACAATTATGTAAGAGCAAAATTGTTAAGGTAAGTTCTTGTATTGAGAGGTTATTAGTTTCCATGGTTACTGAGTCCAATACAATATAAAACTCTTGCATTACCGTTAATAACAGTAGTCAAAAGAATTTTCAACTTCAAATATTTTGTAAAGATTATTATATGAAACTGCTAAATTCATAACATATGATCAATATTTTCACACATCAAATGTCAGTCATGTTTATTTGTTTCACAAATATAAATATGAACACAATACACAAAGTGTCAAATATTGCAACAAGGAAACAGATTTCCTTTTCCGGTCCTCATAGTTAGCAAGACATGTTACCATGGTTACATGTAAGGATGTAGTCTTTGTTAGATATTTTCTTCCTCGCATTATGAATATTTCCTGAAGTTTGATTTGAACATGAGAAATGATGTGCTAATAAGTGCTAAGAGTGCTTGAATTATAAAGTTTGAGACATTTCAATATCCTTTTGCGTCAAGATTAACGGGTTAATCAAAATCCGCACGAAGCATGTGTAATAATGATCTTATGCACCTTACAGCATTGTCTGTTTAATGCAGACATCGCTGTTGTCGTAATACAGACATCATTGTTGATGTAATGTGTTGGAAACATGTTTACGATGTTGAGCTCAATACTGTTCTCAAACTAGATGCCACTTCCCCTCACAACACCTATTATTTGTCTCTGTAATAATAAGAGGACTATCACATTTGTGTGTATCATTCAGACACAGTTTTGGACTGATGCTTGGACAGCCTCAGACAACATCAATGTAAACTTGCAACTTTAAACACATTCATGTTTCTCCAGATACCATGCTGTTAATGATGTATATTTTTCAGCCACCGTCAACAGTGGACAGTACATTGGTGATACACATATATAGTGTTATTCCCATTTTGTTGTTCACACTGCACAGCGATTCGTCGATCTTTTCCAGTATAGGATGTTTCCGATTGTGCAACTGTTCGTTCACTATGTATAGGTCAAGTAAGTTGTCATTGTCAGCCAAAAAAATCCACTGATGTACGCAATATGGGCATAAGGATTCAGATGATTTATCGATTTGACCTGTTTGGCAAGTCATTATTTGAAGGAGTGAATACTGCTTTGCACTCTAGGAGCAGTCATTAGCTCACCTGGACCAAAGGTTCAAGTCAGCATGTGCCGTGATCTGTTGTTTATTGTCTATTGTCAGTCGTTATATGTTGATTCTTTAATGAAAGAGACACATGTGACGAAGTTGTCTAAGGGGCTGCAATCCCTTGTTGCATCCCTTGGCAGTACCATTAAACTATGACAGAAGGTTTAAAGCTCATGTTTAATGTAGGTGGGGCAGATACGATTTTGTTGATGGTTTTCAAGTTAATTAAATATTAAATATTTAAACATCTATCTTAGAATATATCACAATATCACTTATAACCAATCCATCTTGTGACAATTTCTGTTGCACAGTCAACACGGTAACCTATTAATACCCGAAAATATATAGACTTTGTCATGAAGTAGGGCATAGCTTGCCAAGTTGTCTGTGCAGCGTTGTGTCCCGTAGGCTTGCCAGAAAAGTATGATCATGGGTTTGAACACCTTAATTGTGTTTCTAGTTTTGAAAGCACCATACCTCTTCAAAGGGGCAAAGTGATGTAGCTGAGATACTGTTAAACCCACCTTGATCACTTTAGTGGAATGTTTCGTTCAAATGTATACCACTTTGGTGAAACCCACAAGCATGAGTGTGGTGCTCACAAAACTAGACACATATTCAGGACACATTTGGAATTTGAACCCATCCTGCATGAAGGATGAGTAATTCACAAATTGATCATTGGTCCTATTTTTCAGCATTTGAAATGGAGTAAATGTTCATGCATTAATAATATTTTTGAAATATGGATCATTTGAAAATATTTTAATAAAGAAAACATGGGACTCTAATTTGTCTTGTTTAGAATAGTGTAATGTAGGTTGGGACAAGACCCTGCTCTTACCAGTATACATATTCAAATGTGTTGACTTCCAGTTCAGCATGTTTCATGAGTACTTATCACTGCTATTTCCTTCTACTTTCTGTCTTTTTAAGAGTACTCATAATTTGTCCTGTTAATATATATCCAAACTGATATTTAAATGTGTCAATCATTTTGAAATAACAAATGTACTGCTTGTTTGAAAACTGTTAAATATCATGACATATGAGGGCTTACTATAAGCTGTGTTTCAAGGGACATTATAAGTGCAGTATACCTAAATTTATCAGTCATTATGAAAATAAACCTTTCTTATCAGTTGATATATGTCAAGTATTAAGTTTGGCATCTGATGAATATCACCTTTGATGGGAAAGATTATTCTTGGAGTGATGTTTATTAGATATTTATTTACAAGTAACTAGATCTATCTTCACTATGATTCTTTGTCATGATCTTGGTGAAGGTTACGAAATGCTAAGTGCAGATAATTTTATGATTATTTTTGTTGTTAGTTAAAAAAACCCTTCATGACAACTCAAACATTTGAAATATGATAATGAAAAAATACAAAAAATTCAGCAAATCATAAGTTTTCAAAGTTTTATAGTAAAAAAGGTACCAGTATTTACCATGCAGTATTTCAACCACAAGTGTTGGCACAATAATACATGCAATGTCTGCTCAACAGCTGTGACTGCTCTAAGGCATTGATTTTGCTCAGCAAGAATGCAATGGGATATTGAGCTCTGAATATTTATTATTAACTGGTCCTTATGCCATATGGTTGTCAACTGAATATACATCAGAGTTTATTGGATTGATATTGCAGCAATTTAATTAGGTGTAACAGTAATTTGTTAAAACAGTATGTTTTGATTTGCTACTTTTTAATTAAAGTGAAAGTCAGATCCTATTTTCAATCATATCCGTACACGTCTCGCATGCTTTGACTTTCTGGTAGAAATGTTTTTGTTCAGTTTTATGCTGATGTCAGCATGTCTTAATTTTGTCTGAATTTCAGTAGACGTAGACGTAGAACAATGGTAATGTTTGATAATATACAGCAAATGTGCCTTTTTTTCTATGCAGATATGAATATTGAAATTGGGATGCATGATATGCGCTTGACTAATATGATTCGGTCTTATTTTCAGGGACGTGTGAAGCTTGATGTAGGCGGCCATGTTTACACTACATCCTTGCTGACCTTGACCCGTGATGCTGAGTCCATGCTGGCGGCCATGTTCAGTGGACGCCATGAGATACGAGTGGAACAGGATGGAACAGTGTTTATTGACCGTGACGGCACACATTTTCGCCACATCCTCAACTATTTGCGAGATGGTGGAGTGACGGTTGACTCCTTGCCAAGGAGTCGACAGGTCCTGAAGGAACTGCGGAATGAAGCTGTTTATTACCAGCTGCATGGCTTAGTGCAGCAAATAGAGAAATTTCTCTAACTATTCCATCTTGCCTTCTCAATACAATCCAAATGCTTACACCAGAAATCACACTGGTTTGACATCACAAATCTATGTCTTGACAGCCAAAGATATCAGATTCATCCTATAGCAGCAATGCAATGAACACATGACACTGCCAAAGTTTACACATTCAGGTTGGAGTGAGCAGCAGAAATTGGGAAAGTTCAGACTTCTTATGAAACAGTTAGTCCTGGTGAAATTGATCACAAATAAATTTCTTTTCAGAACATGATTTAAAACACTATTTTGAAGCTGAAGGACTCTGTAAGCACGTTGGATCCTAGGATAGTCCATACAGTATGGTTAATTTTCTTCTGCTTTGAGCATACCTTGGCGCCCATAACTTTGCTATGTTGGTGTTTGGTGGAGGTATTTTAGACAGTTCTTGTTCATTCTACTTAAAATGCCAATATTTACAAAACTAGTTTTTTCAGGAAACTAGAAATCAGAGTGAAGAACGCAATGTGTATCTTGTGTTTCAATTTATAAATAACAAATTATGTGTGTTTAATTTTGGGGCCATCTTAATTTCATAAATTATGCTAAATATGGAATAATGCTAGGGTTTAATATAATGAATTATATATCATAATGTAATGTTATCTGCATAAATATATACACCTGCAGGGATGCTACTGAGAATGTTTGCTCATTATATTATACATGTTTTGAAGCTACAAGCCAGATTTGCAAAGAAAAAATCAAACTCAAACAATCTTGAATTTGTTTTATTTATCATATCAATTTATTTGTTTATTACCCATGTTGAAATAACAGATTTGTAATCTTAAATTACACTTCACATGCAGTCCTTGTAAATCAAATATCTTGGAGTAAGCATTGCAAACATAATAATCTGTGTTAGCCGATTTTAAGAAACTCGTAATTTCTGTTACCTATGTTGAAATAAATAAGATTTAAATCTTAAGTAAACTTAACATATTCCTTAAAAGTTGTAATCAAATATCTTGGAGTAAACATTCAATAAACAATATTCTGCTTATGGGCATATTTCATAATCCCAGTGAAATTAAAGTATGGTGTCCCATGTTTCCTAAGAAACCAAGAATCTTCTAGCTTATACAGTGTTAGAAAGTGTTTTATATATAATCAGTATGTCTTTCGATTCAATTCTTATTCTATACCTCGTATATGATTGTGATACCTTGTTGTATAATCAATTAAAATATATATTATTCATATATATCTATAAAATTATTTTACCTACCAACTTTTATCTAATGTTTCTTTGAGTGCAATGGAAATGGTTATATTTCATTTATTCAACACTGTTGACTCATTAGGAGCTTTCTTCTGACAGTGTATGGTGTCAACATAGACAAGAGGTCGCATGTCCAAGGGGGTCATCGTTTTAGGTTTATATATATATATATATGTGTGTTGGACAAGGCCTGTTTTGGGGGAGCTCTTTGAGTCAGTCAGTATTATGTGTTTTGAATACACGTTTCAGATTCTTCAAGGAAGATTTTGAGTTTTGAGGAACTTGTGGTTTTCGGTATTTAGCCATCGCTATAATTGGTCATCTAAATATTAACCTGCATTGGGCCAAGATTTTAGATTACAATTGTTTATTGTTACATATTTTATCTCTGGAAGATGGTGTTCTACTTTGGCCTTTTCTCATGGAATTCATAATTGCTATCATTTTAGATAAATGCATGTTATTTGAATTACATCAATATTTGTGTCAATTTTCTTGTATTATCTGAGTTTTAGTATTGACTATTTGGAAAAATCAGTGATCATTTGAAGAATAGTTGTCACTTCAAGACGATATATTAGTGAAAAATAATGGAATGGTTAATGTGTGATGTACTCGTAATGTGGAATGTCTCAATTACTGAACCTGTGGTATAAGTAGCCATACACAGTGAACGACACCATAGTTATATAGATTTCACCCAAAATGTGGTCAAATATATACTCTCAAATGACAGTTCTACAGTAGCTGTAATTCAAACTTTCCATTATACACATGCTTAACCACCATAGGCATGGAACCTAGTCACTATACAGAAGCACTGTTTATCAATGCTTGTATATGATTAATATGAGATAATTCACAATATTACCCACATATATTCCATTGCCTGTTCACCTACCCTATAACCATTTTCTTATATAAGCCTGGTAGGTATAGCTATTTATTACTATGACATATGTTATATCTACTTGTGATGTTATAAAGTAGAACCAATGATCCTTTATTTTTGTGATATTTACCTAGTGCTGACCTATTTGCTCCTGTGCATGTTATGATATACAAGATCAACTATGGTGTGCTGGCTTTCTAGTAAGAGTGGTTTGTATTGTATGTCACATGTGACACGTATGTGGGACTCAGGAACCGGTTTAGATAACAATTATTAACCAAGAAATTCACTGTCAGATATGTTGATATTTTTCATACCGTGCAGGGTAATGCCATGTGTGAAATCCCACAATTGTTTTGGATCAGTTCTTGAATAAATCTGCTTGTCACTACAATTTTTCACTATCAAATTAGGCCATGTTTAATCCTCTTGATGTTTTTCTCAGTAATGTCATTTCTATTGATCACGTTGAGGTTATTTTATCATAATAACATGGCATTTGAAATAATTTCAGCTTAGATGTATTTTTGGGGAATTAATCCTGTTAGACATTGATTTGAAAAGGAGAGTTAAGTGAAAATGACATTTGAGCTGTTGCATTTCATCAATGTTTGTTTTCTTATGAGAAATATCTATATTGATCACTGATCTGTATTGTGAAAGTCCCTGATAATGTTTTGCACAGATCCGTGAGTAATTTTCTCTCTACAAGAGGGTGTCTCCTACCTTATCTCTTAGTAACACGATTGGAGTGAGTGAACATTATACACTGTCATTCAAGTATTACCGTACACAACTTAAATATTGTAACAGTTAACATTTGCAGTTGTATCTAGTGAAATGTGCAGTCTTCTAACCTTTTCAGAGCACATAGATTTGAAATATGGATGTAACTTAATAACAGTGACTGTTTACACTTTTCTTCTGATTATCTGTACCCGGAGTTAGCTCCCTTAGATTATGATCGCATGTGTCGTTGCCGAAATGTTTCATGTAAGAGCTAGGGGTGTAATGGTCTATATGATACCCATGGAATATACACAATACAAGGACTATACTTTTCTGTATTTGTCATTTGAAAATTCTTGTGTAGTTTATCGTGCTAGATGTCACCTCAGGTGTTTTCTATACCGTATTCGCTGTCTTAAGTGCCCTACTCCTGTAAGTACCCCCTGACCAACTTGTAAGTAATTTTGATGACAGACAAGATTAACTGAACAGCAAGGGCTGAAAATGTACATGACAGTCTGTATGCTCTTGTGTATATTATAGATATTCTTTCACAGAAAACAGCAGCATTAAAGGGGATATAATTGCTTAGTAATTTTTATCAATTTCTTCATCAATGTTTGTACTAAGATTAATTATGCATAATTCACTGACATTAAAAAACTTGTGTATGGTTTTAATAACTATCCCCGTTGCCAATTATATAAGCCCCTTAGTGCTTATTACGGCAAATGCGGTATTCTTCCTACCATTGATAGGTGACATTATCCATCCAAATAGAAGTATGCTTTCTGTATGGTATTCATAGTAAAAGTCCTTTTGATTTAGCATCAGATCTTGGACATACAATACATAGTAGACAGTTTTAAGGTTTATGACAACATGAACTGAATGGTAGAAGAAATTAGCATCAGTATGTAGTTTAAAGTCTGTGAAATCTGTATGGTACTACATATTGTATGGTAAAGTCAGTATTGTCATAGGAATCCAACCGTCTCTCATGTTTATGGTTACACCCCTAGTAGGAACCAACAGAAGTGGAATCAACACGCTACAAGTATTGTCTCAACAGTTTCTTAAGCATGCTATTGGTGTCTGTAAATTAGATGTAATCGTAAAAATGTTAAGTAATCCTAAAAAATGACCAGTGTTACAGTTTTGCCGCTAGGCTTGGAGTTTAAGAAGCTAAAGCACACCAGTTAGAGAGAAGATGTGATTCGAAGTGAGCTTATTTGTGGGTAGGATTCAGGTGCTGAACCATATAGAACTGGACATACTGTACACTTAATATTGTGAGGTTTAGAATTGGCTGTGGTTGGTGAGCCTCCTTGTGAGTACATTGAGTGTTTAAATAGAGAAAAACAGGTTTGTAGGTATTTCGGTTCCACGTGATACATTTTTAAATTGGGCTTTTGGGCTTTGGTATTTATGGTAATAAGCATACCGTGTATGTATTTTATCAATATAAGTGTATACTTGTTGAGGTTTAAAGGATTTTTAATGACATATGTTCCAGCAACATAGTCAGTTGCAATACTTTCATCATGCATATCAATCACAACTTATATGCATCAGCATTTTATATTTGAGGATCTGGTTTTTTTTCATATAAAACAAAATATGGGCGAAAATCTAGGTTTCTTTTAGATTTGGATGCTTCAGCTATGATTTTACCTTGTCAGACACAATAAGCCCTTGATCATACCTTTTATGATATGATTATCTCCCTTTGTTACAAATGTTACAGTTATTGATATTTACTAGGTATTGACTTTGTTGTGAATCCTGTTGATTTTAATTTGTTATTAACCTCCTTCAATGCAATAAGCAGGGAGTTGCTGGCTGTCTGCTAAGTGATAAGCTATAAGTAATTGTTCAGTGGTAGACAGTATGGACCTGATCAAGCACTGTTCCCAAAACTTATTCCCCAGTCATTATGAATCACAAATATTGGGATCCAGGTCAGAATATTTCAACTGTGGAGACAAAATATTGGATTAGTATCATTATACAAATTTACATGAAAAGAGAATTTTTAAAAATTATGCAAATTTCTGCCAAGTCAAAGCATCATGAGCAGTTACGCCATGTGTATTTTTGCTGATAAATGTTATTTTAAGAAAATCTGTTTCATTTGCTGCTGTGAGGATAATATTATAATCATAAAAAAACATGTTTCTCATTTCTGCCCATGTTATTTTTTCACCCAGTTTGTCAAATCATTCTCATCCAGATTTGGGAATGGTGTACTGAAAGCAGATATCAGCAGCATTATTCATTTGTCTGTGTGCCTTGCTTAAGAAGAGAAAGCCATACAAGGCCATAATGCCATTATTTTTACAATGAATCATAAAAGACTCAATTTCTTATATTTTTAATAATTTCTGTTGAACAAGTGCATCTGTCATGTGATATCTGGGATGTTATATGTCACTATGGTTTAGGAAAGAAAATGCTTTGCAATATTCAAATATATAACTCAAGTCTTAGGTTCAAATAAATAACTCAAGTATAAGGTAAATTTGTAGTGTATCTAAATATCTCCTATAACAAGACAGCACTTATGTTTCAAGAGAGTGATAAACATTGAATAACTTGTGTTTAGTTAGTTCCAAAAACAAATTCATATTTTCTGTCTTCAAAGTTTTTTCTGACCAGGATCCTTGGTTTGTGACTGAGATTAATCAAACACATATGTTGGCCAACAATATGATCTCTTGTCATCCTCAACACAACCCATGTTTATTGATTACACTTTTGTGTTACCTCATTCCATAACAGACCAGTCTGATAGGCAGAACATCACTGTGGAGAATCCGTGTGAAACACACTGAACATGTGATAGAACCTGGCAGTGTTGGACACAGAGCCATCCCACACCGAAGTTCCTGTAGATTCAAACCCATATGATATACATGTACTTTGAAAGTGAAACATATCAGTGTTCCGGTATTGACCAGTTAGGATATAATTGTACTTTAAACCGTCATATTGACCAATTTGAATCTAGTATTTTCCAAAGCCATGGAAGCGTATCATGTAAATAATTCCAAATCTTGATTGAATGTATGAATCATTGTTTTCACCCCAAAACTGGATAGCTTTTCTTGTAATTTTATCTAAATCTGTTAAATGGTATTTTATTGATATTTTAGTCTATCACATTTGACTGCATTCATATTTTTTAACCGACGGTTTCTACCTACCTTGTATTAACATTTCCTGTAAATTATTTCACAACCTCAAGCAAATATTAATGTCAATGCCTGATAATAAATAAACAGTCTCGATTATCTGCCGAAACAGATTCCATTTGGCTTAAAACATTGTGAAAATTACATGAGTGGATCACTGAAAGTCTTGACTATTAAGTTTTGATATACAGTTTGAAAAATATTTTGAATGGATATTGACAGTACAATTACACTGTAAATAAAATGAAATGACAGTGATGGTGTCACAGTGACACTGTAGTGTTCAGCATCTCAGACTGGTCTTGCGTGTTATTCATGTAGTTCATATACACACATTTGACGGTATGCATAATTCCACTTCATGGGACATCCTAGCTGCATGTTTGCTCAATATTATGCAGATTTTACTCAGGTCATGTAAAGGTATTCTTCTCCTGCACACTGGGAGGACACAAGGAGGTTACGCTGTATCAGTTTGCCGACTCTGGTACTGCTCCTCATCCACTACACAATCCCCTCTCCAGAAGCTGGCATCCTACTGTAAGCAATACGTGTGCCCTGAGGGCCTCCATTTAATATTTGGTCACAAATCTGGAGGAAGGGTTAACAACACAAACATATCAGGGATGGTGAATCAATGAATAACTTGTCATGCTCAGTGGGTTTGTTAGAACCTTTAATAACAGTATATTGATGTTTATTTGCCCTTATATATTTGTATAAATTCAAGACATTTCCCACCAAACTCTTTGAGTTATATGCCAGTTGGTATGCAGGTAGGCCTGCAGCCTATCCAAGAAAACATCCTCAAAATCATTACAATCAATATCAACTTTTGATAGGACTAATCAGATATGTCATTCTATTCCAATATACTCTTGACATGAGAATCAGTTTGTGTCATGGAGAGATAGAAATATCCCTATCAAGAGTGGAGAAGTATCCAGTGGAACAGTGTTGGACCTGCTTGTTATTGGGTGGAAACATTCTTATTATTTACGGGATCAGGTGGTCAGGCTCGCTGACTTGGTTGATGCATGTCATCATATCTCAATTGCGTGGATCGATGCTCATAACGTCAATCACTGGATTGTCTGGTCCAGACTCGATTATTTATAGGCCTCCATCATATAGCTGGAATATTGCTGAGTGCGGCGTTAAACAACAAACAAACAAACAAATCTTATTATTTATCTTGTTTATTTTCTTCAGAGATGCATTTCCCACACTTCTCTATCAAGCTGCAGGTCACTGTAACCAGGCGGATCCAGCTTGTGTATGCATGTTGGTTGTTCAGGCGTGACAACAAGCCCATAAACATACAGAGCCTGCAGCCATTCAGTTGTGTTACCTCCTTGTGTCCTCTGTGCAGCAATCGTGTAGGTTTTGCTTGTAGACAATGTTGATTGTAGTATGTACCCATCATTGTCCTCCTCTAACCGTCCCCTAGCATATACTCCCAATTATTTTTACGCCTTTTCCAGATCAGTGAGATACTGATAGCTATTCTTGATATATTTTTCAGAATGTAATTAGGTGTTTTTTGACGTGATAGAAAGATTTATAAAAATAGAACTTTACAGATGTAGTTTGAATAAATGTTTATTTACATAATATTTTCAAATTTTATCTTGTACCAAACTGATACTTTTTTCTCTATATCGCTAAATAGTATGATAATATTGTCTTCCCTTTCCTCACAGCCTTCTAAATATTGAGGGTGACAAATCTATTGGGTACTTTTGCATGACCTAGATGGGCATGAGTGGTTATCATATACACAACAGATATACATGTTTTACTTCCTCATCAGGGGGAACTGAGTAGCCAAGTGGTTCATGAACTCACTTGTTGTGCTTAGGAGGGGTTTGAATTTTACAAAGGGCACTGTGATGGCCACCCTGGTGTGCCCCCTGCTTTGGTGGAAGTATAGTTAATGAGACTTTATAAAATAGACAATCACCAGCTGTGTCTTCAGTGATAGATAAATATTACATTATTAAGTGTAATGTTTGAAATTATTAGAAACGTTTGAGATGTTATAGTTTGAACTGAAATAAGATTAAATTCCTATTCTTTGTGATAATGTTTAGCTTTACGAAAACTGAACATTTACCTTATTTTCAGAGATTAGGACAAGCATTCAGAGCTTCCATCACCAAGAAACTATTCTTGTATGTCTGTTGTATTTATGCTAACTGTCTCTTTCTCAGAAGGATAGCATGTGTATGTATGTGTATGTATACACGCATATGTCTTTTAAATTGGTTGAATGTGCACCCTTTATAATTTTTGTAGAATAAACAAATGCTATATACCGCTGATCAAGTGTCCTGTTTTCTATGATGGCCTGGATGTTCTTCAAACTGAAGGTTAAAGGGTACCAGTGTGGCACTAAACTGAAGATTGGAAGACTCCCATCAAGGGAACATCTGTGAACAAACCGTGAAGGTTCTCATGAGGAGGAACATTTATACATTAGAAGTGAGATAGTGCTACTTTAATCCACAATATTTCATTTGGACCTGTAAACATCCAGGATTTGACCACACCAACTACTGTTTGTCATGGTTAGGGACCTGTTATACTGTAAAGTGGCTGTCAATATAACCTATGACCATGGTCTATCACCAGGTAATTCACCGAACTGGTACTCCAGAGGGACCAAGCGAATCCCATGCAATCTGCAAAAACAAAACTTTGGAAGTGTTGAACAATGCCAGGGAGGCCAATGATATAGATCTGCTTGTTCCAAGAGACATTGAGCGGGCACATAGAATAGGACAACCTAACACGGATAGACCACGCCCTGTGATCGCTTAACTTGTGCACTGGGAGGATAAGATGAAGTCTCTAAGTTTGAGAGATTCCCTTAGGTCAAAGGGATATGGCATTTCCAATGATTTAACTTTAAAACAGAGGCAAGAATTAAAGAAATTTTAAGATGAAGACCAATCTAAACATATTTATAAAGGTGGTAAAATTGTGTCAGCACCCAAACAGGTTACGGATGCTTCAATCAATGTCTCGGATTGGAGAAGAGGTGGGGTCTCTGACAGAATCAACAGTCCACCCAGGAATGAGGGGAGTTCGCGCCCCACTACCCGCAGTCAGGCTACCAGCTCTAGGGGCAGCCAGCAGGACCGCACTACCTAGGGGTGTTGCCGGGGCCCATACCAAGACTCAGAGGATTTAAAGTGATGACTCTCCTACAATAAAACTCTTATATTGGAATATATCTGGATTGAAATCTAAATTAGATGACTGTGACTTTGTTTCATATTTATATTCATTTGACATTGTAGGCCTCACAGAGACGTGGATTCAGAAGTTAGACTTCCAGAACAAGTTGGCAGATTATTTATATTATAATAGACCAGGTGGTAAGTTAGCAAAAGCAGGGAGACTCACTGGCGGTATCATAGTTATGGTTAGAAAACAGCTGAAAAAATATAGTAAGCGGACTCGGGTGAAAGAAAGTGGTATTTACATTCTATTAGATAAATTACTGTTTGGTACTGTAACAAATGTGCTATGCTGTTGTGCATATATACACCCAGAAGGCTCAGCCGATTATGATAAATGTGCTACTTCTAGAAATGGTGTACTGATGTTTCAAGACGAGCTCCTGGATATTTTATATCAGATCGATGACGTTTCATGTATTTTGGGGGGAGATTTTAACTCCAGAACAGGGACAGAACCCGACTTTGTGGAAGACGACATTTTGGATTATCTTGAAGGGCGTGATAACTCGTCTTGGGATTTCTTGATAGACCATTTTGATTTGCAGAGATACTCTTCTGATACTATTTTGAATAAGTTTGGTAAATGTTTGTTGAACCTATGCTCTGTCTTAAATATTCATATTAAGAATGGTCGTTGTGGCAGTGACGCTGGTATTGGGGACTATACATTCATTAGTAGTACAGGGGCAAGCGTAAATGACTATATTATCTCCACCGTACATATCTGTAAAACATTCGACACAGGCACACGCTACGAGTCGCAACATTTTCCATTAACAATGGTTTTACGTGCGTGTACGCTTCACTCAGTCATCGAGGTTATGATGATATCAATTATGCAAGTACATTTAGATTTAAGTGGAGAATTGATAAAGAAGAAATATTTCTTTGTAACTTAGCTTCAGACAAGTTTGTATCACTTGTTGAAAAAGCAGTTAATGCCGTATTCACAAATATTGATGAAAGTATCGAGTTTGTTAGAAAGGCACTCTCCTATGCTGGGAACGAAATGAAGAAAGTGGTTCACGTGGACAAGAAAACACGACAGTGGTTTGATTGGGAATGTCAGTTACTAAAAAGAGAGAGATGTACATGCCTCAACAAAGTCAGACATTGTCTCTGCTGGACTAATATCCTTCCACTTTATAACACAGCTGGTTATACATGTATTCCAGATATTGTCTGTGCTGCCTTTATATCCTTCCACTTTATAACACAACTGGTTATACATGTATTCCAGACATTGTCTTTTCTGCATTTATTACCTTCCCCTTTATAACACAGCTGGTTATACATGTATTCCAGATATTGTTTGCGCTGCCTTTTTATCCTTCCACTTTATAACACAGCTGGTTATACATGTATTCCAGACATTGTCTTTGCTGCATTTATATCCTTCCCCTTTATAACACAGCTGGTTATACATGTATTCCAGATATTGTCTGTGCTGCCTTTATATCCTTCCACTTTATAACACAACTGTATATATACATGTATTCCAGACTTTCTCTGCTTTTATATCCTTCCAGTTTATAACAACTGGTTATACATGTATTCTAGACATTGTCTGTGCTGCCCTTATATCCTTCCACTTTATAACACAACTGGTTATACATGTATTTCAGATATTGTTTGTGCTGCCTTGATATCCTGCCACTTTATAACACAACTGGTTATACATGTATTCCAGACATTGTCTTTGCTGCATGTATATCCTTCCCCTTTATAACACTGCTAGTTATACATGTATTCCTGATATTGTTTGTGCTGCCTTTATACCCCGCTACTTTATAACACAGCTGGTTATACATGTATTCCAGACATTGTCTGTGCTGCCTTTATATCCTTCCACTTTATAACACAGCTGGTTATACATGTATTCTAGACATTGTCTGTGCTGCCTTTATATCCTTCCACTTTATAACACAGCTGGTTATACATGTATTCCAGATATTGTTTGTGCTGCCTTTATATCCTGCCACTTTATAACACAACTGGTTATACATGTATTCCAGACATTGTCTTTGCTGGACTTATATCCTTCCCCTTTATAACACAGCTGGTTATACATGTATTCCAGACATTGTCTCTGCTGGACTTATATCCTTCCACTTTATAACACAGCTGGTTAAACATGTATTCGGGACATTGTCTGTGCTGGACTTATATCCTTCAACTTTATAACACAGCTGGTTATACATGTATTCCAGATATTGTTTGTGCTGCCTTTATATCCTTCCACTTTATAACACAGCTGGTTATACATGTATTCCAGATATTGTTTGTGCTGCCTTTATATCCTTCAACTTTATAACACAGCTGGTTATACATGTATTCCAGATATTGTTTGTGCTGCCTCTATATTCCGCTATTTTATAACACAACTGGTTATACATGTATTCAAGACATTGTCTGTTCTGCCTTTATACCCCGCTACTTTATAACACAACTGGTTATACATGTATTCCAGGCATTGTCTTTGCTGCCTTTATATCCCGCTATTTTATAACACAACCGGTTATACATGTATTCCAGACATTGTCTTTGCTGCCTTTATATCCCGCTATTTTATAACACAACTGGTTATACATGTATTCAAGACATTGTCTGTTCTGCCTTTATACCCCGCTACTTTATAACACAACTGGTTATACATGTATTCCAGGCATTGTCTTTGCTGCCTTTATATCCCGCTATTTTATAACACAACCGGTTATACATGTATTCCAGACATTGTCTTTGCTGCCTTTATATCCCGCTATTTTATAACACAACTGGTTATACATGTATTCCAGACATTGTCTGTGCTGCCTTTATATCCCGCTATTTTATAACACAACTGGTTATACATGGATTCCAGGCATTGTCTGTGCTGCACTGATGGGCTCCGCCGGGGGCATGATTTACCATAGTTCTCAGGCGATGTCTTCGGCGTGGGCCTATTGCTTTGCGGTAAGTGTGCTAGTGTGGAGGGATCATCCCATTTGTCAGACACCCACTTTTCAGATAGTGGAATATTTCTTAGCTGCCACACACCCCTTAACTCATAATGGTATGACCCAGACACTGGCAATCTCTTTGAGGTTTTAAACGGCTTAGTTAAACTATAAATATGTTTGTTTTCACTGAAGTTTGTGATGTGGTGCTGAGAATACAAGCCGGGTCGTCGAAGTTAAATCTTTCACTTGTCTTAACTGCGGCTTTTTGACAGTATGGTTATACCAGTTCTTCTCTCCGGATGCGAAGTATGGGGATTTGAAAACATCCTAACTCTAGATGATGTCCATTTGCGTGTTCTGGTTATACATGTATTCCAGATACTGTCTGTGCTGCCTTTATATCCTGCCACTTTATAACACAGCTGGCTATACATGTATTCCACATATTGTCTGTGCTGCCTTTATATCCATACATTCATAAAACCGTTCACACATGCATTAAACCGTTCAAACATGCATAAAACCGTTCATTCATTGATAAAACCGTTCATACATTCATAAAACCGTTCATACATTCATAAAACCGTTCATACATTCATAAAACAGTGCATACATGCATAAAACCGTTCATTCATTCATAAAACCGTTCATACATGTAGAAAACTGTTCATACATGTATAAAACTGTTCATACATTCATAAAACCGTTCATACATTCATAAAACCGTTCATACATGCATAAAACCTTTCATAAAACGTATTTGTCCGGTTTGAATGTACCCTCTGTGTACTAGTATTCCCCGCGGTCTAAGCCCACGTCGAAATGATCTCACCGCCATGTTTATCACTTTCTACAATTTGAAAGAGGAATACAGCATCTTTATTTCACTGCTGTCGAGCAAGGTATAATTACATATAAGAAGATATACTGAAATGTCGCCATTACTGTAAAATAAAGAAGTTGTTGTCCATAAATTGTGTGTACTTTATCATCTGTTTCCTTTTAAGAAATTTCTATGAAACAATACAATTGGAAATCAAACGGCGAGTTACATGCGAGACGTTTATTTCTCACCATATTGCCAGACTACAATATGTTTCTGTTTAGGCTCTGTGCATCACGTACATCTAAAGTCAA